CATGTGGCTTGTATTACTGCAAATGAGTTGCAGTAATTAATAATACATTAGCTGTTTTGATCCCCATTATACTTCTGTGAAAACAAACTCTTTACTTCTATATTGTACATATGAAAAAGGCTGTAGAATGAAATGGCTGAAATGCAAAGAATGAATTCAACAGTTCAAACAACTTTTAGAATCAAACATTTGTGGGTATTTTTTTATTGCTATGTCCTTTCAGGATATTGGTTTCACGTCTCTCCACAGCTGCCTTTTCTTTAATATCTGTTAATTCTCATGACTGTTCTAAGGAAAGACAGTTTTCTGTCGCTGCTCCCTTTTTATGAAGTGTCTCCCATGAAAAGGTTGGTAATCATGGCCCTCCACAATTTCTTTTCCTTCATAGCTCTATGTTAATCTTCTTATTTGTCCCAGTTTCCCACTCTGCCATCGATTTACACAATTTTCTTAGGGAGGTTACTGTTTCTCTCTACCCATCTCACTTATGAGTGTCAAATTCTCCAAACCCTCTTTCTTATGTCTCCTAAAAATTTCAGCTGCGTACATTTTTCTTAAAACTTCCTTCCCACTTTATTCACATTTATTTTACTTATTCATCTTGTGCCTTCAGGATATGGGTAATCACTGCCCCCCCACCTTAGTTAAAGCTTCTAAGATTTATAATGTAAACATAGACATGCATAAACATACTGCATGACAACTGTCAAGCAATCTTCAGAACCTGGCATTGTGTAGTCTTACCCCAGAAATATAGAAAATTTTAAATAATTTACATACATATATGTATTAACTAAAATTTGCTATATTTACAAATGATACAATACTTATTATCAAAGTCACAGCATTTGTAGGTATAGATAGTGAGGACATAGGAACAGACACTCCATGTTAACTGCCAGTTTCATACCTCAAGTGATCTTCAGACTGTGCCACTATTCCTTTAGTGGGTTCCATATATAGGTCACTGAGGTATAGGAATCATACATGGTCTGAAGATCACTTGAGGCATGAAGCTGACAGCCACCATGCAAAGTGGATTCCTGTGTCCACACTGTGTGTGTGTGTGTGTGTGTGTGTGTGTGTGTGTGTGTGTGTGTGTGTGTATATATATAAGGTAGAGATGTGCAGTTTAACCGAAAAACCGACTTTTTTCGGTTTCATCTCCACACCATGAAACTGCATCGAAATTTTTTATGAAACCGAACGATTTCGGTTTAGTTTTTATATCACTACTGAGTGACCATATCCAAAGAAACACTATTGAAAAAGACTTTTAGCTGTTAATAAAATTAAATTTTATCAACATTTATACCGTTATTGTAAGAGAAAAAGATTGAACAAAAATATGTTAAAAACACTTAATAGACTGTGAAATCTATTTGTTTACAAAAGAAATGAAGAAGAAAAGAAAAAGGAAATATGACATGATGCCTGTAAGTGAAATCTATTTGTTTCAGTTTAAAAAAAAAAAAAAAAACTTTTTGTGGTAAAATTAAATTAACAACAAAATAGCAAGTAAAAAAAAAAAAAAAAAAATAGTTGCTAATTTCGTCTTAATTTTAAATTTTTTGAAGTCGGATATTTTGTTTTCCAGTAAGCCATTTATGCCAATTACGAATAATACACTTAAGATTACATTAAAATGAGTAAAAATAGTTTTTAATTTCAGTTTTAAAATGTATATCTAAAAAAGAACAGGTGCTACTCGCAGATTTGGAAATCTACACATTCTAAAAATGAAATTAAAAGCTTTTAATTATTTTAATATTTAATTTTAGGTGTATTTGATAGACAAAAACAAATTTATTTAGGGGAAAAATAACTCATTGATTTTTCTTGTTTAGAAGAAATTTATTTGCAAAACCCCAATAATAGTCAATAGTCAAAATAGTTGACTAGTGTACTAAAAATAGTCAAAATAGTTGACTAGTGTACTAAAAATGAATTGCTGTATTTTTATTTTATTTTTTTAATTTTTTAATTTTTTTTTGGCTTACTTTATAATTTTTGAAGGAAATTGCTTCCTCGGGTCAGAGAAGAAATGATCTTCAAGGAATCGAACCTGTATCCTATATATATGTATAGGATACAGGTTTGATTCCTGTCAGAGGACACATTTATTCTATGAAAATTTCTTGGACATTCAGGCTGGTAAATGTTGTTAATATTGTTTATCATAAACAGAGCATTTACTTAAATATTTGTATCTATAAAAAGAACGTATAAACATAAAAAAAAGTCCTAAAACATATATATATATATATATATATATATATATATATTACACACACAATCTGTGGAAGTATAACATTTTATTATGGTCTTAAAAACAGAGATTTTAAAAATATATATAATATATGCACAAATATATAAAACAAAAGTTGGAGGAAGAAAAGAGCTTATAAAAGAAGAGGACATTGTCCATCTATCACACACAGTCGATGAATGACTTTGTATGCACCTATGTAATAAAGATGTATGTGTGTGTGAGTGTGTGTTGAATGTGAGTGACTTACATGTAAGATTCAAAATGAGTTTTTTTTTTTTTTATATTATGAATTGTTTGAACCTCTGGACAAACTGTAATTTAGCAATACTGCAGTGAGATTATTTGAATGACAAACACATGTGGAGGAGAAAAAATGGTTTTTGCTAGGTTTATCATTTTGGCAACTTCAAGATAATTCATTAAATGAAAACCAGAATCATATTGCAAAACAAATGATAAATAAAAAAGTTGATTTAAATTCTTCAAAGAATTCTACTTTTAAATAATATAGTCACTAAAAACTATTTTGTTGAATTTCCCTGTTTTTCTATGAAATTAATTGTGGTGAAACATGTTAAAAAAAATATTTTTTACCAAGATTTTCTAAAAAATAACATTTCTAAAATAATTTTATTCATGAATAAGTCCTGAAAGTAGAATTATTTGATTTTTGCAAGAATTTCCAAATTAATGTCTTTCACCATAAAAAAGATGCTAAAATTTACTATGTATGGTCCATCTGCTGACGCAAGAAAAACAAAATATTTTTGATCAAAAAATACTTTGATCCTTCCTTTTAATAATAAGGATTTTGATAAAACTTTGTTCTTATCAAGTTTGGAGTATTTTTTTCATCCCGGTATGCTAATTTTTTAGTGATTTTGCAGAGGTACCTATGATACAGGTAAAAATCAGGCGTTTAACTGTTTCACATGGATCAGGTTTCATCTTACTAACTTTGCTGATGTAGATTTTGTTTTTACTAAATAAAATACTTTTTCTGGGGATGATAGATCATCAGCAAAACATATCACAGTAAAAATTTATATATATATATAAAATTTATATGTATATATATATATATATATATATATATATATATATATAAAAAAAACATGTTTGGTTAAATAATATGGACAAGTTCTGTCTATCAAATTTTTTTTTTATCAAGTCTTTCAAGTTTCTGAATAAGTTTTGTTGTGTTGGTAAATTTTCCAAAATTCATATTAACTTTCATTTTATATTCCCCCTCCACCCAACCAAGTACTTTCGAATGATACTCCATTCTTTTTTGAAGGATTGTTCTGTGTGTAGCTAGGCAACTGATTTTTAATTCCAGCATTCAACATTTGATGTACTCCATCTCAACTCATTCAAAGTGCCATCATGTACACTATAAACAGTCAAATTGAATCTTTTTTGCATGTGTATGTTTTTATATTGAAATAAAATATTGAATGTAAAAATAAAAAAAACACACACACACAAACATTTCAGTTTGGCCACCAATATGACAGCATCTTCAGTGACTTGAAATGGATTTCATCAAATGTCTCTATGGTACCAATGTAATTCTCTTTATTAAGAAATCTTTCAAAAATAAAATATACTTTTCTGAAACTTTATTGGAGGAATATTAGCTGATTTAAAGTATAATTAATCTGATTTGAAACAATATTATTCACTTTGAGTTTAAAATACCACAGAAATTCATTTCTTTAACCCGACAGTAGTTATGTTGACATGTTAACAGTGTGAGGATGTATCTAATTTTTTTCTATTGAGACTTTATCTGTAAAACATAATTGAAGAATCTGTCTATATTTCTGAGATGAGGTATTATGTACACTATTTACATTATTCGGATTATTGTCCTCATCTTTGTTGCCATATTTATTACAATGTTTCGGCTGTTGTACACTCCGGCCTTCTTCAGGTGGTTGGGATGTCGAACTGAACCCTTTATTTCGCTCACTGGGGTAGACTGTTCTAGTTCCATGTGTCATGTCTAATGAATGTCAGTTATCAGTTATCTCCTGTTAATTCCCCTCTCCAAGTTCTCCACCATCTTAACCAGGTATTGAACTCACACTCTTTGGGTCCTGTCACTGGATCTAACTATCGCCTTTATTGACTGTGCTATGTGTTCTTTTTACCCCAACTCTTTTTTTGTGTGTGTGTGATATATATTAGTCCAAATATAATGTTGATGTGTGAAACTGTACTACCATGCAGTGTTGATTCCTATGTCCACACTGGGTACATCTTTATAAATGCTGTGTGAGTATGTGTACAGCAGAGAAAGAATGAAGAGAATCTTAGGGTGCATTATGCATCTAAGGTTATGAAGTGCAAAACTATTTTTTTTCTAGCAATAGAACCAATACTGTCCTTTTGTCAGCTCTTACAAAAATCTGTGTAGGTACAGGAGTGTTCAAATAAATTCCTACCCATATATATTCTGCCATAACACATCTAACTTGTTATAAATTGATGAGAGAAAAAAAAAGAAAAAAAAAACAGTTCAGTGCTTTATCCAATCAACAGGAAAACCTTACAGCCATCTATTTTTAGCCCAAGGTTTGAAATTACTACTAGTTAGTAATGCTGCCACACCCCACCTTGGCATCTTGTGTACCCAGGAGGCACAGTATGCACGGGTGGGTGAGGAGAAGCTGGGACACAGCTGATGAGGTTTTATTTCTCTGACAGACAATGAAATTCATACCTTCTCAGGTTCAGGTTTATCAGGGAACCGTTTTGCTGCTATAAGGAAACAGTCGGGGGCAGGTTTGCCATTCTTCACTTCAGGGTCATCAGTGCTTAAGACAACATGGTTAAATAGGCTAAACATTTCTTGATGGTTGACAATTTTCCATTTGTATTTCATACTACAGCTTCCTGAAGCAATGGCCATTGGGATGTTGTGCTTATGAAGATGAGTCAACAACTTTTTTACCCCTGAACAATGAAAAGAGAGAAAGAGAGAGAAAAAGACATTCACATAGGACAGGAATTGAAAGATTCAGACAATGACAACATTTTCTTTTTAATAGTATGTTATTTCAAGATGTCATCTTGGTTCTATAGAGATTCATTTTCTTCAATATCTGGGAATTGTCATGACTATTTGGGATGTTTTACCTTCTCCATAGTTTGGATTTCAGAGTTTTCCTGGTCTTCAACTTGTTGCTATCCAAGGCTAAAGGGTCCAGTTTTAATAACAAACAGGTTTTACAGAGTAGAGTCACTAACCCTATGCTTAACCAGTTTTGAATTCAAAGTTGACCTTCTCTTAGACAAGCAACCACTCAAAGCAAGAGAACACAGAACTATTTAATCCATAGCTGGTGGGGGATGGATGGATTCATGCCTTATTCAAGGTCATCTGTGTGAAAAGCAGACAAAACAGACTAGACTGGAACTTGAGTTGCCAATTTTACTTTCTGCACTGATTGGTATTATACCACTCACACACCCAATAAAACATTTTCATCTTTATTGAATCATTTCATTAAAATTTTTTCATAGCATTTCATATTGTTTAAACTGCTATAATTTATGCCAAATAAAACATTTTCTCTGTAAAACAACTGCTAAAAATATAAATGTATATAATTCTGAAATTTCCTATAGACCAAATTTTATTCCAGAATATGCTCCGCTAATAAGGGCAAACACAGGCTATGGATTGCATACAGGCCATTCATTGCATATATAAAGTATTTAGGGAAAGAAATTCTTATTTCAAAATTTCAGAAACTATGAAGATGCCAAAGAATTAATTGGTGGAAAAACTGAGATGAAGGCAATATTTAAAAAAAAAAAACACACTCTATATATATATATATATATATATATATATATATATATATATATATATGCACATTGAATGCTGATGTTAATGAAATATTGCTCAATGGTGGTGTTAAAATTGTGTGTGTTTCAAAAAATTCATATGCCAAAAATGAACTTGTAATTGCATGCATGAGGCCCAGTATAAATAGTTACAAATAATTATTGACCGATTTTATCATTGTGATATTTTTGCATTACATCAAGTCTTAAGAAGATAGTAACTAGGGTCCACAAATTGGAGGAGAGAGTTATCAATGATAATGTTCTGACTTTGAAACTGCAGTTATCTCCCTTTAACTATCTGTTTTTTTATTTTTAAATATACTTTTTATCACATAAAACTTACTTGCACCTCAAATTTTATGTGTTAAAAAGTATGTTTAAATATTGCCTTTATCTATGTTGTTTATCAAAATTTGGTGAGGTGTGAGCATATTTTGATTCCAAAAATGCATCTCAGAAAAAAAAAAAAAGTTTGGGAACCACTGATTTAAAAATTTTACTGATTTTCATGCACACATACAAAGTATTTTTATATGCATTTTATGAGTTTCACTTGATTTCAATTTGACTATTTGAACCAATTTATTCTTTACTTTAAAAATAACAAAAAAAAAACAAACCAAAAAACTTTCAAATTCATTTGTAAGAGATATTTAAAAACTAAATAAAAGAGAAAGGCCATCATGTTATACTAAAAGATCTCATGATCGGTGGGAGAAAGGTTCCAAGATTCACCACTGAGGACATGAATAACATTAAGCTATAGATTAATAGGTATATATGAAAGTTGTCACTGAGAAACTGACAGCTTACTTAAAAAACAATTTAAAAAAAAAATAAAAGAATTTGAACAAGTTACTGTTTAAAAATAATATTAAAATGTACAAATTAATAGCGACCATGAAAAAAACATATCTATCCTCATATCTAGATATCAAATAGTAAGTTCACATTAGTTGATGGAAAAAAGTCGTAGCAATACTGAAGGAAAATGGTCTACTCATGAAAAAAAAAAAAAAAAGAGTAGAGAAAAGTTTTTTGACAACTAATTTTTATCAAATAGTATTCATCAGACTTTCTATTAGTTGCAATGTTTGTCAAAATAGAAAAATATGGATTTTTTTTTATCATTTCAGAAGATAACTCTTTAAAGATCAGGGACCAATCTAACACTGTATTTATATTAGGAACAAGACCTCACCCCTCCCCACTCTAAAATTACTTAAAAAAAAAAATAAAAAAAAAGAGAGAAAAGTTTTTTTCAAATCAGACCATCCATTACTTGTGATGTTTGTAAAAACAGAAAAATATGGATTTTTTTTTGTATTATTTCAGAAAATAACAGTGTATTTATATTATGAACAACCCCTCCCCCATAAAATTATTAAAAAAAATAAAATAAAATAAATGAAAAAAAAAAAAATGGAAAAAAAAAAAAACATTTATTTTTAGCCTGACAAATGTCATGAGCAGAGAAAGTTCTAATGAATGGTAATTGCCAAAAATTAGTCGCCAAAAATTTTTTTACATTTTTCACAGGTGGACCATTTTCTCTCTTCCCTTTCAATTGGGATTTTACCTTTTGGAAAAATCAGAATTGTAAAAAGTCAAATCTGGGTTGGGAGGAAGAAGATTAGTGACTTGACCGATTTAGTTGATGGGATATTTTGCTGAAAAACTGTACTGATATGAATTGCAATGATTACAGAATACACAAGCTCCTTCAATTCTGTCATATTACTAACTGAGTAACAACATCTGAGCGTTACTGTATGTGCCTGCATAGTAAGATCATCTCTGATTGGTTGACAAGTACATCATGGCTACACAACCAGTTCTCTTCATTTACAAAATTATACATTTAGAACTTACCTTGTATATAGTGTTTAATATAAAAGAGGTTTTACTGAAGCTTGTTTTCTTCAGTTGTTTGTTGTCATAGTTGGAAACCTTCCAAGAATTTTTAATCTGATACTTTGTTCAATCCATCGAGTAGATTGTTCTGGTTCTACTTTCCAGGTTTTGGGGAAATCTTTCATAGCACTTATTACTCAACAGTCTTATTCATCTTTGTGTTGCTTGTTCCACAACCTAACTACAGACGTTCGGTTCAACAGTAGATTTCCCAAGAGACATGTGAACAAATAGAATAAAGTATGAATTAAAACATATCTCAAAGACAATTGGGAGTTCAATCCTTGGCTCTGGTAGTACTGAAAAATCATATTATCCTTTTCTTCTATTGAACCAGAATAACTACACAAAGGTAAATAAAACTGGTGAGTATAAACTGACATGAAATATCAGTTAAGCACTGAAAGGGAAAGAAGAACTACCTTTGTTGATTGAATAAAGGGTTTGTTTTAAAATTCCAAGTAAGGTGAGTACAACAACAGAGGTTAGAGGGTACAATTGCCAAAATGTTGTGATAATAACAATCAAGATGAGCATGCTGGTTTGAATAATAAAAGTCTTACAAGACGACCTTGCATAAATATTTTAATGTTTGATCATATGGTCAAATCTGGGTCAATGGTTTTTTTAATGGTTAAAGTTTTCTGAACCACTTCATAGTTGATAGTAACTAAATCCTACATTATTTCCATTATTTGGACTATTGTCCTCATCTTTGTTACCATAGTTTTTACAGCGTTTCGGCTGTTGTACACTCCGGCCTTCTTCGGGTGGTTGGAATATCAAACTGAACCCTTTATTTTGCTTGCTGGGGTAGACTGTTCTAGTTCCACATGCCATGTTTAATGGATGTCAGATATCAATTATCTCTTGTTAATTTCCTTCTGAAAGTTCTCCACTGCCTTAGCCGGGTATTGAACTCACACTCTTTGGGTCCTGTCACTGGATCTAACCAACACCTTTATCCACTGTGCCATGTGTCCTTGGAGAGGGGAATAACTGATAACTGACATCCATTAAACATGGCACGTGGAACTAGAACAGTCTACCCTAGTGAGTGAAATAAAGGGTTCAGTTTGACATTCCAACCACCTGAAGAAGGCCGGAGCATACAATGGCCAAAACGTTGTAATAAATATGGTGACAAATTGAGGACAATAGTCTGAATAATGTAAATAGTGTACATAATACCTCATCTCAGAAATAGAGACAAAAACTAAATCCTAATCCTAAAATAATGACCATTCATCTAATTTATTGATGGATTTCATTAAGATCTCAGTTCGTGAAAAAAAAAAAAAAAAAAATTTACAAATGTATATATGAAGATAATTCATACAATTTTGATCTTCAAAAATTTAAATGCAATGTCAATCGTCATCTTCTGCCTTCTTAATCCCTGGTCTTTTATTGTTTTCTCTCCCTTTAATAGTATTATTTTTTTTGTTATATTCTTTCATACTCAGTAACCCCTGGCATCTTAGTGGCTTTGTTTTGCTTGGGGGTGAAATGGTTTAAAATAAATGAATAAAATATAAACATTGTTTTTTTATTGCTAAGTGCCAAAACTGGTGTTAGGAAATGAATTCACCTAAAAGAAGTCCAATTTGGTAGTTTTTGCCAGAAAGTGATTTTGTCATCTTTGCTTCTCTAAGAGATAAGAACAATTGTAATCAAAGGCAGCCAGTCAAATAAAATCAAAACAAATCTCTCTCACTTTATCTTTCACACACACAATTGACGGATCTCTCAGCAACTGTGGGAAGTTTCACAGTGTGCAAAAAGAGGACAGGCAAAACACAATGTCTGTAGAAGGAAAAAAAAAAATTCTCAGAAGAAAACATTTCCTTTTCTTTATAAACTGGTCAAAGCAAGGTAGAGAGAATGAGAGAGAGAGAAAGAACGAGAGAGAGAGAAAGAACAAGCAGAAAACAAAAAGATTGTAAAGTCTTTTGAGCAAGAAAGAAAAAACTTTTTTGGATTTCAATATTTTTTTTCAGAATGAAAGAAAACAAAACAATATTTAAATAAATAAAAAGATAAATAAAATAAATAAAATTCAACCTGAAAAGTTGACATTGGTGATCGGTACATTGGTAGGTTTTAAGTTTTTGCTTAAAGATTTTCTTATAAACTGCCAACATTTTCTTGGACATTTTTTTTTTAAATAAAATTATATGCAATGACTGAAACTGAATTCAAGGCCATATTTATTGAGTCAGTTCCTAAGTCTGCTACTAAGAAAATTAGTTCACTATATTGTTCTAGACAATTTTTCTGGTCAGAATCTATCTTGAACTTTTATAAGTCTACCATTCATCTGTGCATTGAATATTGTTGTCACATCTGGTCAGGTGCTTCTGCTGTTTATAGAGATTGTTGACAAAATCCAAAATAGAACCTGCAATGTTACTGGTCGTGACCTGGCATCTCCGCTTCAATCACATTCCCACCACCGTAACAGTTTCACCAGGCCTTTTCTATAACTTCATAGCAATTGTTTTGGTACCTCAACTTGATGAATTGTAATACTAGATTGGCAACTAGCTCACATCATTTTACTGTTGAAATCACTAAATGTAACTAAGTGACTGTGTAATTGGGGGTGTAATAGATTGTGGCACAGAACAAGAAATCAGAAAGCCAAATTCACATTTCCTGTTCTTATCAGTTTTGTTACATTCACACAAATATCATTGGGGGGGGGAAAGGTGTGAACACACTTCTCACCTCCTCAGCTATGGGTTAAATAGTAAAGCAGACTGGGCTCTTCATCCTTGGCAATCAGTCCAGGAGAAGGACAACTCTGAATTCAAAAATATATGTAGCACTGTACAGGAACATATTATGAAGCTAATGAAAAGATCATGGAGTTTACAATAACTGCATAATCCTGGCTGAAGTCTGTCTTCATGATTAATTGTAACTGTAAGTTCTATGCTGATTGTTTCTTCTCTTGCAATTCTCACCAATGGAACTCTTTTCCAGTTTCTTGCTATTTTGATAATTACAATCTACAAAGATTTAAATGCAATATCAATCATTATTCATCTTTTTTAATCCCATTTTTTTTTCTTTTTAAACTCTTTCTCCTCAATATTTCCTCAGTTTTCCCTTACTTACAGCTCTTGTGTCTTAGTGGCTTTATCACCTTGCCTGAAGTGAAATGATTGGAAGGAAAAAAAACGTTTTTTTTTCATTTACTTTTTAAAAAAGATAAGCAACAATTTTTTTAAAATTTCATTTAATAACTTTCTTAATTGAAAAATAAGATAATTTTCTAATTTCTTCTAAATCATAAATTTATTTCACTATTATATATAAAAAATCCTTAAGATTGTTGGCAGATATGAACAGACTCTTGAAAGTGACTGGCTGGCTTGAGTGATAACTTTCTGCTACGGATTCCTGGAATGCACGTGGAATAATTAAGGGGAAAGTGTGTATTATCCTAGTTATTTATGAATGAAACAAAAACTTTATCAAGATATTTGGGCAATAGGACAATATACAGGGAGAAGTAATTTCATGCCTTTGAATAAAACATGACTATAACAACCCAGATGAGAATGCAAGTCCAAAGAGAAAAGCATATAATGATAATTATTCATTTAAAAATTCATTAATGATTAATCTCACAAAAAAGTAAAGCATTCCCAAAGCAAACTGATACTACTGTAACAATTTCCTTTCTACCTTCAGATCTCTTAATGGTTTACATTATATATATATATATATATATATATATATATATATATATATATATATATATATATATACACACACACACATTGTGTGTAACTATGCATATGAAGAAAGATAAGTACATTTTTGTTATTTGAGAGAATTTTTTAAATACCTGGAAGAAATTTTACACTGGGGAAAACCAGTTTTTCTTCTTGCCGTAATCGTTTCAAGTATTCTTCAACTGTTAAAGGAAGACCAAGTTGATCTGAAATTGACAAAAAGAAAAAATAGTTACAGGGAGATTTTTCTAAGTAAACAAAAGTTATTTTGTAATCATTCATGCAAGACATTATTTGAGTTTCTTAAAAACTTTCTTTTTCTATTTTTTTTTTTTTTTTGCTCAATATGAAATTTTTAAAAAAATCTCTAAAAGTTGGTGCTTTAAGTTTATGTAACATTTGCTGGGAAGTAAGACATCAATTCTGAGAGAAGATTTTTCAGATAACAGCTAATCTTAGCAGACCCCAAACTGTTAACCAGGAGTTTAGTTATTAACACTGATGCATTTCAGTAGCAGTTTAATATTAAAGGATTCTGAAAATCTGAAGTCTTTCCAAAAAGAATTCTCTTGTCTTTTCAGATTTAAGGAAAAGGAGATAAGAACTTTTCAGCACCCCTCATATTTTGATACATAAGACTTGCATAGACCTATACAGTAAATGCAATATAATACTTGAATGTGCCTACCAATAATTGATATATACTTGATGCCAACAGGTCATAAAATGCACTTTTAAGAATTGGGTATACTTATATCCTAATAAAACTATTATTTACAAATGGGCTATTATCTTCATCTTTGTTGTTGTTATCACAACGTTTCAGCTGTAGTGCCCTCCAGCCTTCATCAGGTGCATGTTGATCCAGATAACCTACAAGGAATTGCAAACTGAACCCTTTATTTAATCTATGGGGATAAATTGTTCTTTCCACTGCCTATGTCTAGGGATATCTCATCTGGTTCTTATTTTTAGTACTTCTCAGAATCTGCAATATTATTGGTCCTGATCTGGCATCTTGGCTTCAGTCACTTTCCCACCATCACAACATAGCTTCCCTGTGCCTTTTCTATAAATTCTTTCATGGAACTTTCTTCTATGGTACCTAGACTTTATAAATTTAAGTGCAGTACTTGATTAGCAGCAAAGTCTTATCATTTTATAGTTGAAATGGTTAAATATAACTCTAAGTTCTATACTAACAGTTTCTTCTCTTGCACTTTTTGCTTGTAGAACTGTTCCAACCTCTTGATTCCCATGCAACTTTGAAGTTCAAAAATTTAAATGCAATGTCAATCGTCATCTTCTTCCTTCTTAATTCCCGGTCTTTTATTGTTGTTCCCCCCCTTTTAATAGTATTTTTTTTTAGTTTTTTTGTTGTTATATTCTCTAACACTCAGTAACCCCTGGCATCTTAGTGGCTTTGTCTTGCTTGGGGTGAAATGATTAACAAAAAAACAAAAAAAAAACAACAAAAAAAAAACAAAAAAAAAAAAATAAAAACCAAAATCAACAGTCAAAGGTATGCAACTTAAAGTACACTTATTTCCCAAACATTATCTTAGCAGACAGAGAAATTATACTTAATCTAATCCTTGTAGACACTAATCCACAAAGCTTGTAAGTGAAATCAAATCTGATTAAATAAGATCAATAAAACTGGTTTGAACTTGATTCCTGTGATCATCAAATCATTTTATATTTAATTAACACAAGCAACCCCTCTCTAGCCCTGCAAAAGAGAAAACAAACAACAAACGTCAGTGTTTTTAATTTAGTCCAAACCCCATAGATTATTACACCGAGTAAAATGGCCCAATTTTAACCCCATGTATATAAGGAGACTGATGTTTATTTTGAAAGAGCAGCCATTAGCTCCTCAGAAGATAGCAGAGATTTGAAACTGTTTGCACAAACATACATCAAGTGAAAAGGGGGGGATATTGATAAATGTTTGTTGTTACCATAAATCTGACAGTTTTAAAGCATGGGGAGGCATTATTTATGAATATGGAAAAAGTCTATACAGGAATTTGAGCTTCAAGCTGGAGCAAAAGCATATCTACTAAAAGGTAAAAATATTTGACTTTCTTATCTGCTTTTATATACAAAGCCAAAGTTCTATCTACATCATTTGGAAATCTTGAGTAAATAAAACAAAAACAAAAAAAAATCACATAAGTGTTAGGTAAGTAAAAGACATTTGTCAAATTTGGAAGAAGCTATTACAGAAGAAAAGAGAAAAAGACATTAAGGTACAACCTTGGAGCTTCCTAGATTTTGCATTTTTCTTTATTTATTATTGGAAAAGATAAAATATAGACATACACACCAACATGCCAAAAGTCATGGGATTGGTACTTAGCATTGTACAGGACTCCTGCTAGGCCAGTGAAGTACAATAACAACTCAATATGGCATCAGTTCTATAAGCAATCAGAAGATCTTTAGGGAGATGAGTCATGCTGCCCATAACTCTTTGGTACTTGCAGGTGCAGGATCTTGTGGACAAACAGATTTTTCACCATACCCATGAATTGGGTAAATTGGGGGCAAATATGATGGCCACTAATATATATATATATATATATATATATATATATATATATATATATATATATATTTGTCAGCTGTCAATATACCACATAACACCCTTGAGCGCTTAGCCTTGGAGCGGGTAGAATTGTTTTAGTGGACTCAGCAGTTTTCAATCTGCTTATCTGAATCATCTTCAAAAAGCGAGAGCAAAAATTAAAGGTAAGCCAATCTAACAGTGATCTCATCTCACAATCCTCACACTTGCTCCATATGTGGCCTCCTTTGTAAATCACTAGCGGGTCTTAAATGCCACTTAAGATTATCGCACAAAATTTCATAACTGAATCAACTAAGCTGTCAGATCCTCATACGTTGAAACCGACGGGAGAGTCCATTATATATATATATATATATATATATATATATATGAACATTGAAGTCAACACTCAGAGGTAACAGGCTATTTCATGCTAGGCGCAATTGTTAAGCTGACGATTGCATCCAGCATGAAACAGCCTGTCGCCTCCGAGTGTTGACTTCAATGTTTGCTTTTATATTTATATTTACATACGCTATCTCTGATATTGAGCACTTTATCCCATAAATACAGCACACCTTAAAACTATAATATATATAGATATACATATATGTACATTATATATATACAGATGGTAGGTGGAAAGAAATTTCTTATTGAGAATTACTTTTGTTAATATTATCACATTTGCATGAAACAAAATGTATTGTCATCCTTAAAATGATAAAATTTCATTGCTAATTTTCATTTTTATTTCGGGTGACCAGAATGAACTGCATGAACGTACTCAGCTAGCATCCCATTATGTAGTGTGACAGTCTGCAGTACGTGAGCAGAGATGGTGGCCCATGGACCTCGTACTTCAGTAGATCTGAAAAGCATCAGAAATTGAAATTCCAAGCTGATGAATACAGGATCTGTGGTAGATAGCCACAGAAACAGTTGTCCTTCAACATCCAGATTGGAAGAAAATGTGCAAGGCGATTACAGAACACTGGTGGACAATGCTGGTGCTTAGAATTTTAACACTGTATTTTATTTCTATCATAAATGATCACAACAAAACAGTTTTTTTTTATGAAAATCAACCAATAATTAATAAAGTCATTAACGAATTAAAATAGGGAGTTTCTTTCCACGCACCTTTCTGTGTATGTATCTTGGAAGTCTTCAGAATGCTCCTCAAATTAATTCTGGGGAATTTGGGCAACAGATGATATGGTGCATTATCCTACTGAAATAACTCTCCATTATTGGGGTACTTGAAGTCTAAAAATGGTTACAAAGTAGTTCAATGTCATGGTCACCAGTCAATGACATGTTTAGATGAACTGGCAGACCCAACACAGGTCACTTGAACACATGTCAGATTATTATATAATCACCACCAGCTTGCACAATATTTTGTTGACAACTGGGAACCATGGTCTCATGGGGCTTCTGCTCAACTTAAACAATACCCCCTTTAACGCAAAACAATTGAAATTGTGACTCACTGGATCGTGCCAAACAATGCCATGCTCTCATATCCAATTAGGAACATCATGATCTCATGCTGTGTCTGGTGTTATCATATTAACAGGGCCATCCTGGTGTGTCCTTATCTTATGAAAACTAAACAACAATGAACAGACTCGCTGGTTGTATCTATTACTTCCTGCATTAGATGCAGATGCATTTTGAGCCAGTACTGCTTGCTTGTTCTCACTCATCGCCAGGTAGGTCTTGCAACTTGTCAGTCCAGAAGCACCGCCACATGAGATCTGCTTTCTAAGCCTGTTGCATAGCTTACAGTACCTGGCATTCCCTGCAGTCACCCATCTGAATACTGACCATGCTCAATGTTACTTACCTTCAGTGATTGAACAAAAACCAAGGTTTCAACTTGATATGGCAGTAATATTTGTTAGTGTAGTTAATTCTAGCAAGACCCACCTTTGTTGATGATCATTAATGATCTGTAATTGGCCACTGTGCTGTCTATAGTGAATAGTAATGCCTTCCAACAGGTATTTCTGGTACACATGTGATACAGTAAATTGGGAATATTAAATTTCCCCACAATTTCAGCAATCAAATAGATCCTGTCCATCTGTTAATATGTCCTGTTCATGCTCCAATAATTCATATCACTTTGCCATCATTTTGTTTAGTTTCTTGTATATAGTTTTGTACACATTTGTAAATAATCATTGGGGTTTTTAGATTTTTAATTGTTATTTTATTCCCCTCCCCCACAGAAAATGAATTGTATATATATATAGGGACTAGTTAGGACTTCATAGAGTTGCTGAGGCATTATGGTGTATGAGGAAAGAATGGTAAGTAAGAATGAGTTGTTTTGGTGAAAGGAATATTGTTTGTATGTTTGGGTCAGTGTTTGCGGCCAGATAAGTTTAATGTTAAGACAGAAGATGGCCATCCTTTCCCCCTTTTTCGCCTTGTGCCACATTTGTACATATTGTACAATAAATATTATCACCTTGCCATCATCAGCCTAGCCAGGCATTCACACTGACTCACCAGATGACAGTGCATCACTAATATTGGTCTGAGATTTCATCATGTCAAGGTACAGTGGTACCACCTATCATTACTTTTACATACTGAGGTCCCATTTTGTCTTGTCAGTGTAGTTATCTTATAAACATACATACATTAAAAAAAAAAAAAAGAAACCAGGATAAATCAAAAATATTTACCTATTGTTATCTTTGCAGAATCATGTTCTTTTCTTCCCATCAACTGGGCTTTGATTTCCCAAGTGAACGTTTTTCCATAATCATCACAGATTTTCTGTGTAACTTCTGTATAAAGACGTTCTGTGTCTGTAGAGAATGAAAAGTAATAAATTAAGTTTTTTTTCAGTAAAATAATCAATGGTTTCTTTTTTTCTTAAGGAAAAATACAGAGCTGGGCATAAAAGATTACAAGCAGGTTTCACCTAAGAAAAAAAAAACAAAAAAAAAAAACACATTAAGATGTGATATTTAAAAAAATGACATGATGCATGAAAACAATCTTTGAAAAAGATAAAAGACAAAAAAAAAAAAAAATAATAATAATATACGTACAATTACATTCTCAACAAAAAAAAAACCCAAAAAACTGATGACTTATGAAAGCTGAAACTGGACAATTTGTACTATTTACAATATTTAGACTACTGTCCTCATCTTTGTTGCCATATTGATCACACTGTTTTGGCTGTTGTCTGCTCCGGCCTTCTTCAAGTGATTGGAATGTTGAACTGAACCTTTTATTTCGCTTGCTGGGATAGACAGTTCTAGTTCCACGTGCCAAGTCTAATGAATGTCAGTTATCAGTTATCTCCTGTTAATTTCTCTCTCCAAGTTCTCCACTGCCTTAACCAGGTATTGAACACACCCTCTTTGGGTCCTGTCACTGGACCTAACTAACGCCTTTATCCACTGTGCCATGTGTCCTTGGAGAGGGGAATTAACGGGAGATAACCGATAACTGACATCCATTAGACATGGTACGTGGAACTAGAACAGTCTACCCTAGCAAGCGAAATAAAGGGTTCAGTTCGACATTCCAACCACCTGAAAAAGGCCAGAGCATACAACGGCCGAAATGTGATAAATATGGCAACAAAGATGAGGACAATAGTCCGAACATTGTAAATAGTATACATAATACCTCATTTCAGAAATATAGACAGATACTCGACAATTTATATTCAAATTTTCACCAGAATTCGTTAAAATGGTCTGAAACCTAAACAATAAACTAAGACATCCTTCACAAAAAAAAAAAGTTTATATTCAAATACACACTAAGTAGCATTAATAAGTCCGTAAGCTAAAAATGTAAAAAAAGGATTTATGTGTGTGGATGCTTGTGTGGGTTGGGGTTGTTTATGTTATATATAAATTTCATATTTTTTTTAGTTACATTTATTTTAAATACAAAATTTAAAAAAAAAAAAAAATTCCCTGTATAAAAAAAAATGGATTGCCTGATTGTTGTTAACAAAATTATGTAACAGTCTTAACTTAGCACCTGAAGACTGCGTTGTATAAGAAACTCCGAATTGCTCTACCAGTGAGGAAAAATGTGTGTATATATATATATATATATATATATATATATATATATACACAAGGTGCTAAAATTTATATATACTAAGGGGTAAGGGGTATTAAAATCTATTTATACATACAAAGAGGTGCTAAATTATATATATTCTAGAGGGATGCTAAAATCTAAGTATACAAGATGGCACTGAAATCTATTTATACATAAAAAAAAAAAGGGGCATAAAAATCTATATATACAAGGGAGGGGGGCAGGTGCTAAAATGTTCTCCACTCAACTAAGAAAAGATTTTCCCCCCTACAAAGCTTATATTTCTGGAAATGGGTTGGGTTGAGAACTTTTCAGCACTCCCTTGCATATATCTATATATTTTGTTTTTCTTTTTTAAAACTCATAATTTGTATTCTTTCCATAGTGTCACACGTTGACTAACATTCAACCTGCTTCCCTCATTGAAAATGGTGGTGGTGATGATGATGATGAGGATGATGAAGCAGCCTTTGACCAGTGCCATGCCAAAGAGATTACACCACTTGGATGATTCACATCTCCCTTTGCTTTCCTCATGTGACAATCAAGGTCAGGAGGGCCCACATGCTGCCCACTTCCTCTCGACCCTCCAACAACTGCATGAGGCAGGGGGACTTTAGGAGAGACAAAAATGAATGCAGATTTGCCAATCTATCCTCTCACAGAATTAACTCTCACTCTATTTCCCTATATTTTTTCTTTCTTTGTCACTTTTTTTTTTGCAGGGGGGTGTAGCAGAATCTTATTTTTTTCTTTTCTTTTTTATCTACTGTCTTTATTTTGCTCTCTCTCTCTTTTTTCCTCTCTGTTAATTCATTTTCTTTTTCCAATCACACCCTCACCACCACCATCTATCTTTTTGTTCCCTTTTTTTCCTTTCATCCTGTGGACAAATCATATTTTTTCTCCTCCTGCAACTGTGATCTTCAAATTCAGACAAGATATTCATTGAGTCAGGCATTTGTTTTTTGCTTGCTATTGTAAATAAGTAGAATTTTTCTTTATTACACCGAAATAATATTACACTCCATGATGATGATGATGATGTTGTTGTTGTATTTGTACTACCACTACCAAATGATGATGATGATTATAGTTCTTTTTGTGATTTGCGATACAAAGATGCATGATTTGTGCTAATTGCTATACCAAGTGAAATTGTAATGTGACATTAAAACAATAAAATTTCCCAGATATATGTGTTTGTAATTTATATTCTTTATGTGCACACTATTATTTTCACCTTTGTTGTTATTATTATCACACCATTTCAGCTGGACGAAGTAATTTCAAAGCAAACCCTTTATTTAATCTACAGGGATAAATTTTTGTAGTTCTGCTGACCATGTTTATCTTGTTTAGTTCAGACGAGAACAATCTACCCCCATAGATTAAATAAATAGACTTTACAAATTTAAGTGGCAAGGTCTCATTTTATAGTTGAAATGGTTAAACGTAACCATAAGTCCTATGCTAAGAGTTTCTTCTCTTGCACTTCTCACTTGTGGAACTCTCTTCTAGGTTCTTCCTTTCCATTAATCTTTGATCTTCAAAAATTTCATTGTCAATTGTTCTATATTAATTCCGGTTCTCTCTCCTTAATGTTTTTTTTCTCCTATTCTCTCACACTCAGTAATCCCATGTGTCTAAGTGGCTTTCTTGCCTTGTTTGAGGTGAAATGATTAAATAAAAAGAAGTAAAGTGTTCAGTTGGAAATTACTTTAACTGAAACATTGTAATAATAACAAAGGTGAGGACAATAGTCCACACTTAAGTAATGTAAATAATGATAACTCATCATTCCAGAAATTCAAACAGAAAACATGCTTTTGTTTATAATATGCACCAAAAGAGGAAAAAAAAAGAAAAGAAATAAAAAGCAATTTTGTCTATTATTTAAATAAAATACGGGATGGTCCGAAAGTCTTGTCACCCTACATAACATAATTTTCTATTTTAAATGGCTGACAAGCTCCTACAGTTTTGAAGAGGGTTAGGGTGACAAGAAATTCGGACCATATCAAGATCATATAAAATAATAAAGAATAAATGTCAATAAAATAATAATAAAAATTGGAAAAAATTGATATAGAAACTCATAAACCTGTAAACTGAATGCTAATAAAAGCCATTTTAGGCAGGCCTAAAAATGGATTCATTTTGAAAACTCAGTAAATAAATAAATCCCTTAAATTGTTTTAAAATTCAATCTGTAGTTTTTCAATAATAGTTCAAGATTGTATATCAGTGTAGACAAGCTTCTCTCAGCACCCCCCACTCATCACCCCTCAAGAAGAGCAGATCAATTTCAAAGTAGAGTATTATCCTGGGGCTTGAAAGAAAACACAGATCTGTAATATAGACAATATTATAATACTGATAGCAATAATCCTATATATATATATATTGATAGTAATAACACATTAGGCAAAGATTTATTTCAGTAAACATTGTATGTCATGTGCAATAGATAAAACTATGTCAGATTTAATCATGCTGATTCATCCTTTCCCAATAAAAAGTGTTATTAATCAAAATCAATGTTGGGAAAATTTTTATAATATAAAGGCGCATCTCAAAAGAAAATTAAATATTGTTCATTTTATTTAAATAATTTAGTTTAAAAAGTGACTCATCTATCTTCTAAATTCAGTACATGAAATGAAATCTTTTATTTTAAATTTTGAGGTTTATGGCTGACATTTGACAAAAAAAAAAAAAAAATCCACTACTCAAAAATATAAGATTGAATATTTCAGATTTAAAAAAAAAAAAAAAAAAAAAAAAAAGAAAACCAATAAAAACAATTTATAATACAGAAGTATAAAACTCCTTAAAAAGTCATTTATGCATTCATTACTTTGTTAAGGTTCCTTCAGCATTGGATGACTACATCAATTCCATAGTATGACATAGAGGTGATCAGCCTGTGGCCCTGCTGAGGTGTTATGGAAACCCTGGTTGCATTGATAACAGCCTTTAAGCTCAGCTGTATTGTCAAGTCTGGTGTCTCATTTTCATCTTGACAATAACTCAGATTCTCTATAAAGGTCCAGGTCAGGCGAGCTGGCTGACCAATCAAGCACAATAATACTATGGTTAGCAAATCAATTACTAGTAGTTTTGGCCCCATGGGCAAGTACCAAGTCCTGTTGGAAAAGGAAATACACATTTCCATAAAGCTTGTTAACAGAGGGAAACATGAAGTGGTCTTTAAAAAAAAAAAAAAAAAAATCACTGGGGAGACAGCCGCTTTCACTTTGAACTATATAAAATACAGTGGATGCCATAGCACACTCCCAATTTATCACTTGACTGAAAACGTCACACTGGACCTGCGACAACTTAAATTCTGTGCATCTGTTTTCCTTTCAGAATTTGGAACGTTGATTTCTAAATGAAATGAAAAATTTTCTTTCATCTGAAAAGAAAACTTTAGACAGGAGTTGAGTGTTTTTTTTTTTCTCCCAAAATCATTCCATACATTGTATCTGGTCCAGGAATAGCTTGACCTTCCCAATGCAACACTTCATTGAGGCTTTTGATTCACAGATTCCAGCTTTGGCCTATTCCTTGCAAAGTTCCTCCAAATTAATGAATCTTTTTGTGACGTTCTGAAGTTTGTTTGTTTTTTCTTCTCTTGTCCTTATGTTTCTAATATTTTCTATTTTTTTTTTTGATTGTTCTCATTCCATCTCTTTTTTTCACAATTTCTAACATAGTCTTTCTACTATTG